AATCAACCCTGAATATTCTTTGGAAGGACTGATGTTGAAGTTGAAGTGCCAATACTTTGGCCACTTGATGAGAAGAGCCAACTCATTGGAAAAGACCCTGATGCTGGGAAAGATTGAAGGCAAGAGGAGATGGGGGCGACAGAGGATGAGATGGTTGGATGGCATCACTGACTCAGTGGGCATGAATTTGAGCAAACTGGGGGAGACAGTGAAGGACAGGGAAGCCTGGTGTGCTGCAAAGAGTCAGACACGGCTGAGTGACTGAACAACAACAATAAGCCATCTCATGCAAGGACTGCCTTCTAAGACTCAAACGGCACATCCTTAGTTGTGAGGTTTGTTCAACAAAGGGCCAGAGGATGAATTCTGTGGATGTCAGCAACAGCGGGCTCATTCCTGATATGTTCACCAAAGCCTTCCGTTACAGGATAGATAGATGGATGGCATCCAGGTGCTAGGGCATGTGTGTCAATGTATGTGCAAGCATGGCTGAGAGAATATATATGTGCAAGTGTGCATACATGTGACTATGTGTGTATTTGCACAGGTGGAGAGCAGCCCTATGAATTAGGTCAAATGTGACTAGGGAAATGTGTAAAGCATGTGTCTAGACTCATTCCTTAGGTGTTGGACCCGATGCTGGGAAATTCCACATGTCAGTCCCATGAAGACTCAAGGAAGGGATTCCCCATACCCAAGCTACATCTCCTTGAAAATTATCAATTAATTGGGAAGCAATAGACAGACACAGGGCTTCCCTGGTAGCTCAGCTGGTAAAGAATCTGCCTGCAATCCGGGAGATCTTGGGTTCAATCCTTGGGTCAGGAAGATTCCCTGGAGGAGGGCATGGCAACCCACTCCAGTGTTCTTGTATGGAGAACCCCCATGGACAGGGAAGCCTGGTGGGCTACAGTCCACAGGGTCACAAAGAGTCAGACATGACTGAGCAACTAAGGACAGCACACACAGGGAGACACAAAGGAAATAGATAGAGCCGTGGGGAATTGGAAAGCCAGAAAAACAGTTAGCTGAAACAAGATCATCTTGGTTCTCAGAGACCTGGGCTCCATATACCACAAATGCCACTGGAAGAGACAAAGCTGGGAAGATGCTGCTAGTTCTTAGGCAGAGAAGACCCTGGGGAGGGTGAGCTGCATGGACCTCTGATGCCACAGGAGCCAAGTAGGGGACAGGTCTGGCCCTTCTGGAGGGAGGAAGAGGAGAGCAAGGATACCTTCTAGGAGCCCAACCTGACTAGGCCTGAGACCTGGGGTTTCCAAGCAAAGCAATGTGCTGCTGTTGCTGCTAAGTCGCTTCAGTTGTGTCCGACTCTGTGCGACCCCATAGACGGCAGCCCACCAGGCTCCCCCTTCCCTGGGATTCTCCAGGCAAGAACACTGGAGTGGGTTGCCATTTCCTTCTCCAATGCGTGAAAGTGAAGTCGCTCAGTCGTGTCCGACTCTTCGCGACCCCATGGACTGCAGCCTACCAGGCTCCTCCGTTCATGGGATTTTCCAGGCAAGAGTAATGTGAGCCCACCTATAGCCCCAGACTTGGAAGGATCTGAGACTCATGGGATGAGAGGAGGTCAGGGTAGGGCTAGCATTTCACCAGCCCCTTCTCGCATACTGCTCATATTCCCCAGACCTTGGAATCCTCTGAGGGATGGAGGACAAAATGTTTAATGTCACTGGGAGAGGCTGGTGAGGCCAGGACACCCCTGGACATGTGCTGGTGGCTGGTTCCATCCTGAGTTCAGGCAGATCCCCTAGGCTTGGGTGTAAAGAAACTGCTGGAAGTTTGTGCTCCACCACTTGTGGCAGGCAGCACTGTCCCAGGGAGTCCCCCTTCTCTCGTCTCCTCCAGCCCCACAGACTAACCTGGCTTTGCCAGCTGAGACCTACAGGGCTAGTGTGAACAGGACAGTGTGGAAAGCCTCTCTGAGGAGATGACACTCAGGCCAACAGACAGGATGAGAATGGGGCGGGCTGTTGGAGGGGGAGGGGCAGGCAGGGGGAGTGGAAGTTCTAGGCCCTGAGGCAGAAAAAGAACTTCAACCTTTAGGAACTGAAAGAGCCAAGTGCCTGGTCAGTAAAGAGGGCAGAAGATGAAGCTGGGGACGTGGGGGAAGTCCAGAATTACTCAGGACCTGCGTTATAGTCTACAGCAACATTCTGAGTGCGCGCGCACACACACACACACACACACACACACACAGAGACACTCTGAAAGGTTTGTGGGGAAAGGCTACTATGGTCTGAATGGTGATTCTTAATGCTCATGGGGACTGAAATGGAGGAGTCCCAAGTTGGAAGCAGGGACTAGTCATGAGGGTAGAGTCCAGGTAAGGAGAAGAGGGTGATTTAGAAGAAACTGGGATGGTCATGGCAATTGAGAGAAATGGCGGGATTAGCAGTACACTTTGGTGGCAGGGTTTGCTGGACCTGATGATAATATGGGTGTGGAAGGTGAGGAGGAATCAAAGACCACAGTCCTTAGCAATGAGGAAGGTGGAGGTGACACAGGCAAGCCTGGGGGTGTAGGCAGCAGGTGAGAATCCCGAGTTCTTGTCAAGACAGGTTAAGCTCAAAATGACCAGGCACCTCAGGCAGGAATGTCACGTGGGACCTGCCTCTGGAAATTGGGCCTCCAAGGGGAGGACAGGGCCAGTCAGACATGTGGACTTGCCTTCTTGCGGGTGGTATGTACAGCCATGGAAACCTACAGAGAGGAGCCCCAGACCAAGTCCAAGGGCACTGGCTTTAGAGTCACTTTGAAGCCACCACCAGGGCAGGAAGAAAACCAGGAGAGCACCGTGTGGGGAAGCCGGGAGAGGGAAGCGTTTCAGGGTGGGGTCAGCTGAGTTAAAGCAGCCGAGACAGAGGAAGCCTGTGAGGTGGGAGTCTGGTGAATTTATTATGAATGGTGGCATGGCAGAAGTCAGGCTGGGGGGCGTGGCGAAGAGGGGATGGCTGAGGAGGAAGTAGAGGCAACTGTCATGTCCCGCCAATTTACGGCTCTAGGGAAGGCCGTGTGGATCTGGCAGAGGGATCTTTAAAAGACCTGTTCTGCATTATGGGTGGAAGCCAGAGAATGAAGATGTGAATGAGAAGGGGGTTAGGCCTTCCTCAGGCACCCCTGCCTCTTCCAGTAGAGTTGAGGAAACCTCTACCCCCGAACGGGTCTTCCCTCATAGCTCAGTTGGTAAAGAATCTGCCTATAATGCAGGAGACCCCAGTTGGAGGCCTGGGTTGGGAAGATCCCCTGGAGAAGGAAATGGCAACCCACTCCAGTATCCTTACCTAGAGAATCTCATGGACAGAGGAGCCTGGCAGGCCCCAGTCAATGGGGTCGCAAGAGTCAGACACAATTTAGCGACTATCACCACCTACCCTCGAACCCGGACCTATGCCTCTCGGGCTCCCCCATGGGCTGCATGGAGAGGAAGTGCCAGGACCAGGGTGAAGGAAGCTGGGAGGGGAGGGCCTGCCTTGCTCTGCAAATAGAAAACCAATGCTGGTAACTGAGTAACTCCTGGAGATGGGGCAAAGGCCCTGGCAGAGCCTGAAGGAGCAAAAATAATCTGTGCTGCTTGGGCGGTGAGGCAGATCGGATGTGGGGGACGGAGAGGCCCGGCCTGTGGTTCCTCAGCCCCCAGCACGCCTCCCTGGCCTGCAGGGGCTGGCTCAGCTCTTCAGTCTTGCTCTGGCCCAGCCAGAAGCAATGGGTCCTGGCAGGCAGGGCCTCCTCAGTTAGTGGCCATGCACCAGGCCAGCGAGCTCGGTCCCCTCTGCCTCACAGCACTGCCTGTTCCAGACCCCAGATGAGAACATCACACAGGCAGACAAGCAGGCCCAGCCCCGCTGAGCCCCAGCCAGGCAGCCGTGGCCTGGGCAGCCCCTCCCACCCTAATTCAGGAGGCTGGCCTCGACCACCCCAGCCTCCCTCGGGTCTCCTTGCCCAAGATCCAAAAGGTTATGCACTCACTGCCCCCAACACACCCTCGCACACACAGCAGATGACAGGGTCCTCAGAGAGAAGGCTGATCGAACAGCATCCAAGACTTGCTGGGTGATGGGTGGCTTTGGGGTGCAGCACCTGCTGAGTAAGGATCTGGTCCTTCTCCCCCTCCCTCACCTTCGGGACAGGGACTCCATCTCTCTGCTTCACCTCCTGCTTACCTCTTCACCTGCTGCTTTACCTCCAGGCTTACTTCTAAGGCCGCAGGAAGCAAGAGACACAACTCATTGAGCAGATGGTGCCGGAAGATGGGGTGAGGCCCCCAGGCCTGCCCCTCCTCCCCCACAGCACACCATCCCCAGGAGGAGAGGAAGGTGCCAGGCTCCAGAGCACAAGGGTTGGGCCCCTCTCTCCCAGGGAAGGAAAGGAAGGTGAGAATCACTGACCTGAGAAGTTTCCATGAACTCTGGCCATGCCGGAAGAGGGGGAGAGGCCTGCACAAGTGGGCAAGTCACAGGGGAAGGCAGTAACTCTCCTAGTGGTTTCCTCACCATAAATTTCTAATTGGATCTGGATCCCGTGGTAGAAACAGACACCCAGGACCCGCCTGAGGAATGAGCAGGGCTGGGAGCCATGTGCCACCAGGACTTTAGAGGAATTAGGGGTGCTGGTAGCAAGGGACTCAGGCCCTGGTCCCCCGGGGGATTGGTCTCAGCGAGGGGAGACGGTTTACCCAAGAAGGACCCCAAGGCCAGGCCCATCCCTGCTCCTTCTGCCTCCCAGCACAGGAATGCCCTCTGTTTACAGACAAACTGTGAGCGTGGGTGAAAGAGAGAAGGGGTCGTGGCTGATCCTCAGAAGCAGCAGGCTCTGTACCCCCCGCTGCTGATTCAGCGACACGCCCCCCGCCCCCCCCACACCCCAGGCTGATGGGAACAAAGAGGCTGCAAGTTTCCAGTTGTAAAAGTCGGGGAGGAGCGATCAAGAACAAAGATCAAGGCTTCGGGTTTTCCATGACACCCGTGCAGGGGCGGGGGCACCGAGCCTGGCTGAGCTGTCTGGCTCAGTTCCCACCACCGTGCCCTCTGGGAAGCAGGAAGCTGCCACCTGGGCCCAGGGCAGCGCCAGGCTCACCACCAGCATGGCGCCCTCTGCTGGGGCCACTGGGTAGGCGGCACTCTCACTCCCTGCAGGGTGGGGCAGAGCCTCCTGACTCCCGGGTCCTCAACCCCAAGTCCTCCCAGCTCTCTAAGATCAGACAGCCTGAGAGCTCAGGAGCTCACCGCACCGAGCGGCCCCCCAAGACCTGCACCCCTGTGCAGAGGTCAAGTGACAGAGCATAGGAGGTGTGGACTTTGGGTGGGTGGGGGTGAAGGGAATTCATTTGCAGGAGGCCAAAGGGCAGCTGGGCTTCCCTGGTAGCTCAGCTGGTAAAGAATCCGCCCGTAATGCGGGAGACCTGGGTTCAATACCTGGGTTGGGAAAATGCCCTGGAGGAGGGCATGGCAACGCACTCCAGAATTCTTGTCTGGAGGAGCCCGTGGACAGAGGGGCCTGGCAGGCTACAGTCCATGGGGTTGCGGAGAGTCGGACACGGCTGAACGGCTAAGCATACAAAGTGCAGTAGGACTGGGCCACCTCCCATGGGGGGCCCGTCTCCGTGGCCCCCGCCTCCACTTACACCCAACCCTCTCAGCTTCCAGGCGATCTGGGACTGGGAGAGGTCCACCCAGTTAAACACATGATGGTATGTCATGGAGCCCTCTTCAACTTTTTAAAAATGTCAAATAAACCCATGTATCCAGACAGGGAGGATGACCACAGTACAGTAAGTGGAAAAACAATAAGTAGATTCTGAGCCCATTTTACTAAAAATAATTAGACTTCAAACCACTGCACTTGGATATCCGTATCTAAATAACTATAGTGACTCAGATGGTAAAGCGTCTGCCTGCAAGGAGGGAGACCCAGGTTCCATCCCTGGGTAGGGAAGATCCCCTGGAGAAGGAAATGGCAACCCACTCTAGTACTCTTGCCTGGAAAATCCCATGGACGGAGGAGCCTGGCGGGCTACAGTCCATGGGGTCACAAAGAGTGGGACACGACTGAGCAACTTCACTTTCACTTTGAATGTGCTTAGAACGAAGTATAGAAAGATAAATGTCCAAACTTATGCCCAGGGTCATTTGGATTAGAATTAAAGGAAAGAATTTCATATTTGAATTTTTATACTAAGCATGTGCGTGCCTGCTTAGTTGCTCAGACGTGTCTGACACTTTCTGACCCCATGGACTGTAGCCTGACAGTCTCCTCTGTCCTTGGGATTCTCCAGGCAAGAATACTGGAGTGGTTTGCCATGCTCTCCTCCAGGGGATCTTCCCAATCCAGGGATCAAACCCGGGTCTCCTGCATTGCAGGCAGATACTTAACCCACCCAAGCCACCAGGGAAGCCCCCAAGCATGTATAATTTTATAATTAAAAAAAAAGATGAGGGTGGGGGAGGTGGTTACGGCAGTCTAAGTGTGTAGAATTGGGCACAGGCATAGACATGCCAGGTGTGTGCACGCACTCACACACACACACACACGCCTGTGTGCATGCTCACACCAAGCGCATCTGGCCCACCAAGGAGGACACACCTGGTAAATCTGGCAGGTAAACCTGGGTGCACACCAGGCTCAGGCACATCCCCACAGACCTGGGCTCCCCTGGCTTGTGTCTGGCAGGGCCTGAAGCTCTCTCTAGGCACCGATCCCATCCTCTTGATTCCCCAGCCTCCATTTACTTCACCTCCCCACCCCTCCCAACTCCCCCCAGGCCTCCATCATCTCCTGCCAGGTATTCACACAGCAGGACCCTGCCCAGTCACAGGAGTCAACAAATCCAGGAGAGGAGCGCGTGGCCTGGCCATGAAGATGGCCTCCCCCTCTTCTGGGGCACTGGGACACCCATCTCCAAAACCGGGGTTGTCCCAGGGTTTCCTTTGGATCCCGGTTTGATTAAGAAAGCACCTGGGCCTCAGCCAGTCCAAATGTGATCCTGATTCTGCTGCTTACATGTTGGGTGATCTCGGACTAAGGTTATTAAAACCTTATGAGCCTCAGTTTCCTCATCTGTATAATGGGAATAATAAGGTTATTGTGAAACTCAAAGATGATAATATCTATGAGATGAAATGCTTCGGAAGACAAACAAGGAAATGACGATTAGGTGTCAGGATCTGGCTCCCTCCAGGGCAGAGGATAAGGCTGTGATCAGGAAAGGACACAAGGACCTCTGAGGTGCTGGCAGTGTTCTAATTCTGGGCTATGGGAACAAGGATGTTTAATTTATAATTATTTATTAAACTGTTCATATATGTATATATTTAACAGCTGTATGCTATGTTTCATAATAACAAAAAATGTTTTAAAAAGTTTCATGTTCAGCATAAATGTAAAATAATACGAGCAAGTATAAGTTCCCATTCTCATTCATACTCTCTGAGGTCAGGGTTAGATGTATGGCAAGGGTGACCTAACAAGTAAAGATTTCATTTATAAACCTAGACCAGTGTTGTTTTCTTTGCTGGTGGAGGCCTGGGAGGGCAAAGGTGTCTAAGAGGTGTGGGTTGCTGTAGGTCCACTCAAAACTAGCCTGCCCTTCCCCATGGCTCCTCCCCACCACGGAGGGCTGAGAGCTGTGTGCACAGCTGCCCACCCAACTTCCAGGCTGGCATTATCCTCGCCCCTGCAAAATTCCCTGAACCCCAGATAGCCTCCTTTCTGCACCCAGCTGCTACTCCGCATTCCTCAGCAGCATGGCCCCTTCCTTGGTCCCCAGGCCCACCACTTCCTGCTTCACTGGGGTCCTTCCTCATGCCTGGAAGGTCTGCCCCCCTACTTCCCAGCCTTTCCTGGCCCTGCTCCTAGCTCTCCTAGACAGTGAGGCACTCTCTGCCACCCCACAGCACCCCAGGGCTCCAAGGCCCAGTCTGCACAACAGCGTCCCCCCTGTGCTGGCTCTGACTCCAGTGGAAGGCTCCCTTGGGAGAACTGGGCACGGAGGCAGGGCCCCCGCTGCCCTCCCAGGCCAGAGACACCATGCTGGGCCACAGCACCCCAATGGCCCTCAGGCCTGAGCCCACCCTGCCATCAGAGGCCACAGGAATTTCTGTGGGGCCTGGCCAGGGCTTCTGCCCGGTGACCGTCAGCTCCCTACCCGCCCCGTCTGACTTGCTCCCCTTCTCTTCCTGACTCGGCTTCTGTTCGACTCTGTGACTTAGTTCGTCTCCCCTCCCTGATTTTCTGTGGGCCTCTGTCTCCTCCATCCTGCCCAGCCAGCACAGGGGCAGCAGGAACCTTCCATCTGCATGGCAGGGGGGGCGGCCCCCGGGCTTCTGATCCTTGCCCCCAACCTGAGCCATTGCCAGCTCCTCTCGGAGGTCTCCCCACCTCACCACCACCCCCACCCCCCGAGGTGAAAAGAGCCCGACCACGGCCTCAGTGGTAGAGCTGAGCTGAAAGGGAAGAGGAAGCTGATGAAACGGGTGCAGGCAGATGGAACTTCTGCTGTTAGGAGAATGAAGATCAACGGGGTGGGGGGCTGTCTGAGGTCTTGTGTAATAACAGCTAAGAAGGAAGTTGAGTTCTGGAGGAAAACAGAGCTGTGAGTGACGTAAGGGTGGGCTTCTGGGATAAATTCTGAGACTACGTTCTTCTCGGGGTCTAATCTCAAACCTGCCTGCTGCAGAACTAGCTCTTCCCCCTCTGTTCCTTTCTTGCACCATCAGAACCTGTGCAGGGAGTAAAGTGAAAGCAGGAACAAGAGGTGCTTGCAAAGGGTAGAGAGAGCCTTTCTTGTCAGCCTGTAAAGCCACCAGGGTGTCCCTCCCCACCCCCAATCACCTGAAGCTCCCCAGTCCTTGGCACAGCCCAGAGACCACGCTGGAGGCAGCCACTCCAAACCATGTAGACAATCTTCCTTTCATGACCTTATTTATTATTCTTTACCCACCTCTCCACCCCTTCCCCACCAGCTGCTTAAAATATTTTTCAAACAGAAAAATCCAACCACAGCTGGAAACCAACCCTAAAGTTAGTCCAGAACGTGGGAGCTGCCAGGGAAAATTGCCGGAGCTCAGGCGGGGCTGTGGGAGGCAGGGCCTCAGCCACGGAGGCAGCCCGGCTCTCTGGGGGCCCCAGAGGGACAGGAGACCAAGCAAGAGGGCCCTCGGGTCCCATCACCATTCCACACAAGGTCAGTGAGGACCGCCGGTGGCCAGGCCCTGGGCTCTGAGGGGACACACATCAGCTTAAGTAAAGAGACCTCTCCTCAAGGAGTGACAGGCTTCAGGAGGTAAGGCACAAGCCCTCCGGTGACAACAAGAGCATGCACTTATAGAGTGTTTCCTACGTCCGAGGTCCAGGCCTAAGTACCTTTACATATGTGGCTCAAAGTGAGAGAATCCACCTGTCAACGCAGGGGACATGGGTTCGATCCCTGGTCTCGGAAGATTCCACATGCAACACGGGCAAAAAAGCCCGTGTGCCCCAGCTACCGAGCCTGCAAGCAGCAACTACCGAACCCTGCACGCCCTAGGGCCTATGAGCCACAACTCCTGGGCCCGAGTGCTGCAACTACTGAAGGCCTGCTCCATAGCAAGAGAAGCCACCACAAGGAGAAGCCCGCTCACTGCAACTGGAGAAAACCCAAGTGTAGGAACCAAGACCCAACACAGCCAAATATTTAAATAAAATTTTAAAATCCTATCCACCCTGTACAGAAAGTACTGTTGTTCTCCCCAACGTGTAGAGGAGAAAAACCGAGGCACACAGAAGTTAGGAAACTTTCACCCCACCGTACAACTATAAAGGCTAGAGTCAGAATCTTGGCCCAGGGAGTCCAGAATCCATGCTCTCACTGCTGTCCTCTGCCATCTCTGTACGTGCAAAGGCAAGACCAGAGCCCCATGAGACAGTATAAACAAGTTAACATGCAAATTCAGAGATGGTCCCTGGCAGAGGGTCAGAATCAAGGAGGGCTTCGTGGAGGAAGTAGCATGAGCACTACTTCTGGAAGGAGAGTGGGAACTTTGAGTCTATGCTCAGTGGCGGGGGCAAAAGGTATAGAGCAGAGAAAGCTGTGGCAGGAGCAGACAAAA